AATAAAGGAAATGATCATATGACTTCAAATCATGGAAAACTGTGATCTCAGGATATCTAAAATTACATATAAGCTCCAAGGGCAATGGAAAAACACATGATGAACATAAATAAGCCACAACATACTATCAGCAATGACACTTGCACATGAAAAAAGTCTAGAAGACTTTACTGGGGGACACATATGATTTTTAAAAAACAGAGATGAGCTAGTCATGGAGTGTGAATGGCCTGCAATATATAGACAATCTGATACTGGTATCCCTGAGATATTAAAAGAATGAGAGAAAAGTCTTGGGTAGATCTTCTAGGGGGGTGTTATGAGAAAACTTGGGCAAGATTCATATGGGATGAGCAGGCTTAGAATGGATGCCATCTATATCAGACATAATGAATATATATACATATATATTATATGTAATATAACTATCAAAAGGTAGTCTGAACCAACAGTTTTCTTACTAACTCAATCCCCATTATCTGAACCATCACTTTTACTCTTATTGTGGAGAGAGGACCTAATGGACATATTCCACTGTAAACACTGAATAAAACTAAAGTAAGTGACATTTTAAGAAGTTTTTGCTTCTTCCCAGAGGAACTCAAGGCACTTGTATTCAGATGTTAGCAATGGAATTAGAAAAGAAAGCAAATGGCTTTGGGGGAAAGTACCGCTATATGAAAATCATACCCAATCGTAATGTAAGGGAGGGAGATTTCCCATCTGCTTCCTGCTTTACTATAAATCTATTTTCTTTCTACTTCCTGATTGTATTTTTATAGAATACATGCTATGAAGTCAATAACATTTTAAGGAAAAGTCTTCGGCTCTGCTAATGAAAAATACTCTTCTCAGTCTCTTTAATGAAACAGATTTAATTTTTTTTAGTCCCTTATAGGAATTTGGAGAAAAGTTTTTTTGTAGCCTTTTATTATGTATTGATTCAAGGATTATTTGCAACTGCAAGCACCAAATATCAGTCACTATGAATGTATTAAACACACACACACTCACTGGTCAGAGCCAGGATAAGCAAAGAAAGAGAAATAAACAACCTAAACCTTCCTCCACTGCCATATACCAAAGCATATGTGCACATAAACTTGTTTGCTGTGAAAAATAAATTGCACAATACTGAAACAAGAAAAATGAGCCAAGTAAATCATCTTACATAATTTTCTGAAGGCTTCCAAATGCAGTGCCCCACCCCTCCCCCAACTATAAGAGGGATAAGTCAGAACTAACTAAAATGCAGGGTCCCTAATTACTTTTCAACCATTTGTCCCATGCAAATTTCCCCTCCCCCACTTTTAAAATTCAATTTGATGAGCAGAAAACCACAAAAAAAATGGATGTCTTCTAATAATTTCAGTTTAGTTTTAAAAAGAAAAGCTACATCCTACTACTTCCCTTAAATAATATTAAGCCTGGTACAAAACGACTCTTCATCCAAAGATTAGCCAAATTCTATTATAGTTTTCAAATTTCATGAACCAAATTGAATGGGAAATCCTTGAAGCATTTATAACATCACACTTGTTTTTTAAAAGCAGAGTATCCTTCCAGTTCTGCCTATTGATATTACAGGTGTACCTGACTTTGCAGAGTGGGCATGATCTCAAGGAGAAAAAAATTATATAAATCAGATGTGTGGTCTTTTTTAAATGCACAGGAGAAGCTAATTATTTGAGTGAATCCTTGACGAAGACCTCTGTGAAACAGAAAAACCTGTTGTAAAGTAAACATTTACCCATGGAGGCAGTGTGGTAGAGTAGAAAGGATAGCAACTTGTAGTCATGGGACTTCAATTCAAATCCCAGCTCTGGCATTTACTTCTTCTGTGAATTTGAGTAAGTAATAGCCAACATTTATATAACACTTACTATGTTCCAGGCACTGTGCTAAGCTAATAATTGTTATTATCTTATTTGATCCTCACAACAATCCTGAGAGGTGGGTGCTATTATTATCCCCATCTCACAGATGAGGAAACTGAGTTTAAGTGACTTGTCCAGGGTCACACAGCTAGTAAGTGTCTGAGGTCAGATTTGAACTCTGGTCTTCTTGACTCCAGGCTTGGTGCTCTATCCACTGCACCACCTAGCTGCAAGACATTTAGTTCTTCTGGGCCTTAGTTTCCTTATCTGTAAAATGAAGGAATGGACTAGGCATAGGTCTTTAATGGCCCTTTCTATTTTGATGTATCCATTCTCCATGATATATCTGTTCACTGGCCTTTGCCACCACGCATAAGCGACGGTCTCCCTCTGCCCCGTTGGCTACCTTCTCCCACTGGTGAATTTTTCCTGGAACCTCCATTTTGGAGAAGGGCCCAGACTAGTGTTATCCGATTCTCCAGGCTTTGCGATCATGTCCCTACCCCACTGTCCTCCCACTTTCCAGCTTCCTTTTTTATGTTTTGCCTTTCCCTATTAGAATTAGTCTCCTTGGGGGTAAAAATTATCAGTAAATACTTATTGACTGACTTTATGATTTATTTTTTATAATTTTAGATTTTTACATATGGGACTTACCTGAAACTAGATTTACTTATGCTTTGATATGTTCTTTCATGTGTGACAGATATTATTTTAATAAAATCAAAAGACCCACTTGCTTCAAAATAATCTTCGTCTCTTACCTATCATGTTTTCCAAAATTTCTCTCATTAAAAATTTGTCATTCTTTTGGGTTAAGTAATTACCTTTAGAAATTCCATATTAAATGATAAAGAAAAGTAATCTAATTAGGGCCATAGCCAGGATAAGGTGTCATAATAGGGTGTCAAATTTTAGGAGCTAAAAACACTGTCCCACAACATACTAACTCTCTCCAGCATCTATACTCCTAGATCCTGACCATGCTACCCCCTTTTTTCCTACAGCCCCAAGTCTTTCAGCAAAGTAGAAACCTTATAATGGTCCAGGAAGTGCTTCTTCCTCCTGGAGGTCTTCCCTAGATGAGCTTTGCCCCACACCCCTTTAACACCAACCCTTCTGCCCCTTTTCTTCAAGGGCATACATTTCTAGTTACTGCTAAGAACAATAGCCAATCTATTACCACAATTTGTTCTTGCACAGTAGTTCAGTCATGTCTGACTATGTGAGCCCATGGACTTTGTTCATGGGCTTTTCTTAGCAAAGATACTGGAGTGGTTTGCCATTTTCTTTTCCAGTGTGTTCCGTTTTACAGAAGAGGAACTGAGGCAAATAACAGTTAAGTGACTTGCCCAGGGTCACACAGCAAGTAAGTATCTGAGTCTGGATTTGAATATGGATATTCCTGACCCCAGGTCCAGTGCTCTAACCACTGCACCACCTAGCTGTCCCACAATAGCAAGGATTAATTCACTATCTAATTTATTATCTAATGGATATTAGGGTCCTGATGTAGTGAGCTTCCTCACAAGTAAATTTGATTACTAAAGGAAAAAAATGGTTGCAGAGGAGAGGTACATGGGAAAAACCCAGAATGTGGAGACAAGGTAATATAGTATGCTGCTGCTAGGGAGCTCAGACTAATGCCTCTTGAGTTATGAAAAAACTGAAAAGAATCTGGACAGAAAGAGGTGAGTAAAATAGATAGCAAGGGTACTGTAGACACATTTTTCTTATGCTAACCTTTTGTCTGGGATCCATTCTGTACCTGTGTTACAAAGTGTGCTTTGCATAGAGTGGGTGCCTAACTCATGTTTGCTGAAATAGGAATATTCAGTCACTGGAACATCTCAGCATATTTCTCCAGGTGCTGCCATTACTTATTTTGAAGGTTGCCTTTCCTGGGCCTAAAACCATCTTCTATACACAGTGAAATAAGACACTCTGCAATTCATGTTTTTTGATGTCATGCCCTCAAAATTCCAAATGTTCTTCCTCTCTCAAACATCCCTTCCTTGTTCCTAAACAATAACCATTGAATGAGTTATTAGACTCATTCTTCTCATTTGTTTTAAGACTATTCCCCCTACAAAAGGCTAGTCATTTAACATTCTTACAGAGACTGTGGCATGAATCAAGCTTAGATGTCACCCAGCACATGGTGTCACCTTTGGTTCCAATAAGAGACTGTTCATAGAACAGTAAGGAATTCAGAACCATGAACATTAAGTTGGGAGAGAACAGAAGGAATACAGATAATTAAATATGATGATGAAATGTACAATTTTCATTAAATCCTAGAAGGAAATTCAGGTACCCTTAACTAAACTGTCAGAGTCAGCTATGTTGGTTAGTTTAGCAGAAACGCTTTTTTTTTTATTACAAAAGATGGCTATTTGGGGAGGGAGGGATAAGGAATATATTTGTAAATAAAAATAAAAAAGATATAATTCTTAAATATAAAAAGGATATTATTTTAACATATAAAAAGAGTACAAAGAAAAAATACTAGCACTCAAGAAAAAGAGAAAAGTATTAAATGAGCAATGAGGAAATAATCGGCTGAGTTCTCTTCTGGCCATAGGGCACCACACCCTGTGAAGGGAAGAAAACCTGCCCATCTCCCCCCTCCCAGGTTCTTTGTTCAAACTAGACTTGTGTCTTAATCAAGTAAAGTATTACTCCTCCACAGCTGGCAAATTACGCACATTTTGGTTAAGCTATTTCTCTGAAAAATGCCCACAGGGATGTCACTGATTGTGTCCCGCTACCAGGAGGATACCTAGCAATATACTTGGTCAACCCCCCACATAAAGCCTAGAGACTTGGGAATCTGGAGTGGGAATCTGGGGTGTGGATCTGCTCCTGTGAGGGATAGCAGATCTCTTTTTCCATTTCATCATCCTTCACATAAGGCAGGAGATGAAGTACTGTGCTCCAAAAGGCGTGACAATTAGCCTGCTTCCTATTCTATTGGAAGACCCTTTCACCCCATTGGCCCTTTACTATGGCAACATCTGTAGGCACTTTGTCCCGGTAAGAAACGAAGCCTTTGAATTCCTACCAAAGAATGAGCCAAGTTTGAAATAATCAATTCCTGCCAGTGTTGGCACTTTTACTTACTTTTGCCTCTTCGTTGACATCCCAGGTGAAAGAAACAGCATTGTATGCAATTTCTTCAATGTTTCCAATTGTATTAAAACTTTCCTTGTAGTCAGCTGTAAAACATACACACACAAAGATTAAACAGTTTGAAGAGATGCTTTGTGTCATTGAATTCTGTGTCACTCTTCCACTGACTGGAACAAAATTTTGCCTATTTTTCTGTCTCCATGGCAACAGGAAAAGGATTTTGTTCTTGCTGATATTTCATTATTGCTAATATTCTACAAAAATGGTAAACCCATTGCACTATTAAGGGTAATAAATGCAAGCAAAACAATATTCTTAGCCAATTTTTATTAGTTTTACTTCTTCACTCTAGGTTTTTATTATGATCTGTGAAGGTTTTCTACTCTTCTTCAACTTTGGATCTCCCTCCTTAGCTACCCACTCATGCTGCAGCTCCCACTCTCTTGCAAGCGTCATGTGGATTCCTTGGATGAACCAGCTCTGTAGAACCACAGACTCTTAGAGCCAGAGGAGATCCTAGAAATCATCCATCCCAATTCCTTATTTTCACAGATGAGAAAACAGAGGTTCCAAGTGGTTTAGTGATTTGCCTAAGTCTAAGTCTAAGGTCACCCAGCTTAGATAATGGAAGAGCTAAGACTTCCGTCTTGCTCTCCTGCTTCCCAATCCAACGCTATTTCCAGCAACATCCTGCCTCTCCCAACCCAAGTTTGTGTTCATGTGTACTATTAGCCCAGTTGCATCATATGAGATTGTAGGCGTATAAGGATTCCCTGACCAAAATAATTTTGCAATGATATCTTTATATTATATTACATATAATTATATAATCATATGCAATAACATATTATATAATATCTTTATGTTATATATAAAAACTGTATCTCACTACAATGTTATTTAAGCAATCATCAACTTGGTTCCTATGAAACTATGACCCCTGTAATATCATTTTCCTAACATTGCATTGTCATGGAATCAACGAAAACAATGAGTGGGATATACCTGAGGATTTAAGAAATTAGAAGAAAATGACATATAAACACATTGCACCTCGGTTCAGGAAGATGTAGTTTCAAGTCAAAGCTCAGCTTGTGTGACCTGTACAAGTTCCTAAACCTCCCATCTGTAAAATGGGGATAATAATAATTACTCCTGTCTTTGTCCCATTTGATGATCCTGCTGTAAAAATCAAATGAAATAATGTATACAAAAACCTTTTGTAAACTGAAATATCATCTAGCTGGCAGTTCTTATAATTATTGATATTACTAGAAATTGTAGAGAAAGAAAATATTTAAGGTTAGATAAGCTACAGAGCAAAGGAAGACAATCTGTTGTTCTCCTGTGACATGGAGAATTAGAACACAAAAACCTCTCAATTTAATCATAAAGCAAGTCTTTGCTTCTGATATCAGAGCTCATTTTGACCTTAAGTGGCTGGACTCAGCATCCAGACAAGTTTTCCCTGAGGCTAGAACTTTAAAGTTCTCCAGAGAGTAATACTTAATTCCAGGAAAGTAGTTGCTGAGTCTTAGCACTGTTTGGCTTTGCAGAGATCAAACTCATTCCTGTTCTTATTTTATTTACAACCTTCTAATACTATTATAGAAAAAGACTAAAGAAATTGTTAAGGCCCCAATATGAGGTAGTGCCCCAGGGCCATTTTAAGCAAGGAAACAAGTGGCAAATTTTTTAATGAGGATTAAAAACCAATGTGGATGAGTCCGACACTCATGAGGGAAATCATGATGCTTCCTATGTTGTTTTTTTTCTCCTGAGTTGCTCCCCAATAGTCTATCCTTTTTGTTTTAAAATAACTATTGCCCTAAATCTAGAACAGACAAAGGAGAGAAGTTAAAAATAAAGACAGTATCACAGAAAGGATAGCGACTCCAAGAGTCTCCCATTCTGCATGTTCCTGACAGGCTGCCCAGAAATTAGAATTTAGATGCTAATGTGGAAAAGAAAATACAACTTAATAACACCTTGCATTCAGCTATAATTTTATACTTTCCAAAGTATCTTCACATACATTATCTTCATTGATCCCTAAAACAAGCATCCGATAGGTAGAAAAGATGTTAAAATCTCATTTTACAGATGAAGAAATTGAGGCAACACATTATATAGATTCTTTCTTGGAAACATCTCTTGTATCTCTCCTTTTTCTTCATTCCCCATCTGCCACCACCTTTATCCAGTTTCTTATTGCTTCACTCCTGGATTATTTGTTGCATCAAATTCCTACTTGGCTTCCTTGACTATAGTCTCTCTCCTTCCAATACACCCTGCATAGTTCTGCCAGATTAATCACCTTTAAACACTACTGCCATCATAGAACTCCTGTGCTCAAAAAAATTGGCATGTTGCCCACCCTTGTTGCCCACTCTATCAAATCAAAATTTGACTTTAAAGCCCCTCTATAATATTATAACACCCTATATAGCCAATGTTATGTCCCATCATGCCCAAATATAGCTTCTCCTACCCAGGAACAAAGGTGCTTTATAATCTTATAATTAGATCATCTGTATTCCTGTATTTGTTCATATTGATCACCTAACCTGCCCCTATCCCTAACACACATACTCCCAGCCTGCCCCAGACCATGCCAGTCTTCAAAGTTCACCTAATCCCATCACCTTCTTGAAGCCTTTCTTAGGTCTCTCAACCCAAATTAACCTCCTCTTTCTCTGAATTTGTACAACTTGTATAATCCATTCTCTGTAATTTTATATTTAATTATGTATCCTATCTTGTAGCAATCACTAATCATTTTGTATGCAATTATCCTTGTCTCTCTGGCTAGATTGCAAATTCTTTGGAGGCAAAATCTCTTTAAGTAGTTACACTTCCACATCATCCGTAACAACCAGCAGCAAATACTTGTCAAATCAAGGCAACCAGCATTTCCTTTGTGTCTACTATGTGCCAGGCACTGGGCTAACCCTCAAAGATACATAGAAAGGCAAACATATTTCTTACCCTCAAGGAATTCATGTTCAAATGGGAGGTACAACATGCAAACAACTATGCCCATGCTCATTATTTTGGTGATGGTTCTGGCTGTCATGGGAAATTCAGCCAAATCATTCAGAGAATTAAATAAAATGACTGGCAGCTGTCTTTTTGGGGTGAAAACAGACTGCTCAGAGCCCATCAACCATAAAGTGTTTAGTGGATTTTTTGTTCCTAAATTCATTACTTTACAGAAAAGCAGTACTGTGTAGTAACCTTAGAGCCAGAGTAAATTGGAGGTAATCTCAGAGGGAAGAGGAAGATAAGGAATATTTATTGCTGAAGATGGTAGCCATCTCTAGGGCAGGGGGTGGGGGAGGAACTAGAGGGAGGGAAGAAAAATAGGGAAAAACATTTTCATGATAACTTTATTATACATTTAAAAGGAATAGCAAGTTGTACATAGTAGATTTGCTGTTTCATGTGCAATCATCTTTTTTTATTATATTATGTTATGGAAATGCTCATTTTATTCAATAAATTTAAAATAAAATTTTTAAAAAAGGTGAGATTCTAGCTGAGACTTAATGGAAGCGAGAGAAATCAGGAGGATGCAAGGGGAGCAATCATTCCTGGTTTGGGGGACCGCCAATGAAAATAAATGGATTAGAAAGACAGTTTCTTATGCAAGGAAAAGCAGGGAGGCCAGTGGGTCATAGAGTCACTGGATCAGAGAGTACATGGAGGAAAGTAAGGGATTAAGAAGACTAGAAAGCTAAGAAGGTATCAGGTTATGAAGGGCTTTAAAGGCCAAACAGAGGATTTTATATTTGATTATGGAGGTAACGGACAATCACTGGAGTTGACTGAATAGGAATGGGTGACGGAAGTATGTGTGGAAATAACATGCTCAGTCCTTCAGGACTGATCTCTTACATTGGTATTGAGTGGAGCATAGACTAGAGTGGGGGAGAGACAAGGCTGGGTGACCAATTAGAAAACTATTGCAGCAGTCCAAATGAGAGGTGATGATGGCCTGTACTTATTTGATTTCAGTTACTTTCCTGGGTTAAACAACTACTTAGTGAGAGATACAAGTTGGACTCAGCTCTCCTAATTTCTGGTTGAGTACTTATCCCACTGTATCACATTAGATCTCAGTATTTATTGGCTGTGAGATAGAATGGTATAGCAGAGAGATAGAAAGGTGTAGTGGATCAGGTACTGGACTCAGAGACAGAAAGATGTAGGCTCAATTCCTGCCTCAGGAATTTACTAACCGTGTAATCCTGATACAATCTCTTAAACTCTCTGTGCCTCAGTTACCTCATGTAAAATGAGTTGGTTAAATTCAATGACTTCTAAGGACCCTTCCTACTTTAAGTCTATAATTCCAAGATTATGATGAACTCTAAGGGGAAAACAGTGAGGTCTTAATTTCCTCTTACCCAATGGCAAGATTTCAAAATCTCCCAACCATCTTTTCTAATTAAACTTGCAATCACTTCATCTTCACTTGTACCTAAATAAGACCCATGGTCTATCTAATGTGGTTTTCTATCTAACTAGCACCAGGGGATGTTATGGAAATACATAAGATATATATCTGTTCAAAGTTTAAAGGTCAGAGACATTTACCAAAATATCCTACTTTTCTTTGAAATCTAGTGAGGCTTGGTCATCTGCAAATATATCTAAACTTAAAAAAAAAAATCTCCTCTTGGCCCAATGAGTTCAGTAAACTTATTATTCATTCTGTGAGACAGGACTTTCTTCTATTTGTTCCAGACTTCCCTCTCTCAAGCTTCCACAAATGCCCTTTGTCCAGTATCCTGGATCTAATGCACAGAGCTGTGTTTGTTGTATTCCCACCACTCATGGTTTAATAGCCTTCAATCCCATTCCTTTTTATCCTTCCAAGACTGAAGAGTCCTGCTATTTTTGTATCCTCCAATATGGAAGACCTCTCTTTTTCTTGCTACTTTTTTCCCTTCCTCTTTTCCGAAATTTTCTATAGTCCCATTAGCTTCTTACAATTCAGCAACCGGAAATCATGTTTTAGTTGTGGTCACATCAGATTTTGTTCCCAAAATCATTTTGAAGATGCCCATTATTTTAATAACTA